AAAACGGGATCATCATCATCATCATCTTCATGTGAGTTGAGTTTGTGTTGCAAATTCTGTACTCTTAATACATAATCTCCTAATTTCTTTGTGAGATGCAATGCAATTGGTCGATTATTCCGTTAGAGAAGCAACAAGGATGCGTATAAATAATGCTTAATTCTTCTTCTCCTTTGTGGGATAGATTTCTAGCACGGGATAATTTCTTAAGGAGAACTTTTCCTAGGAGGGGATATGATTCTTCTTCTGAAACAAAAGGAAATAACAAAAGGAAAGACTCGGAAACATATTACGTTGGGAGAAATGTTGGACGAGGAATAAAAATGTGTTTGTATTTGTGGCCAAAACCCGCTTTCTCTTTGCTTTCTCCTGCCAAAATGACGGGAATAATCAGATTTGCAATAATTTAAGGTTTCCACCATCTGAGTCCTTATATTCCTTTGATCTGGTTCGTGGGTATTTTGGGCTTCCTTCAAATTTGGAGACAGAAGAAAGAAATGCTACTTATTTGTGTCCCGTTTCTTTTTGATGCTCTTACTTGCATATAGAAGAAGTAGCAGCACCTAGTCTCAATGGCAATTTGCCAGCGTATGCTCTCCGATTTTGAGCAAATTAGTGTCAATCGATCGCAAATTTAATTAGCGAAATACACAATCTCTCAATGGGCAGGTTTTTAAAAGATATTTGCATCCTAAGAGAAGAAAACGCGCCTCAAAGTTGAAAAGTTTTACGTTTTCTCCTCTTCGGATGCAAATATTTCTGCTAAAAATGAGCATTGAGAGAATGTGTCGTTTACAAATTTCATACTAATCAAACTTGTAATCGATTGACACTGTTTGCCCAAAATCGGAGAGCATTCGCTGAGAGACCTCCCTTGTCAATTTGAGGTGCCACTTTCTCCATGCGTGCTAAGTTGAAGTGCACGTTTTATCAATTTTTCTGAGCATCTGTCTAAAATCTTTGAGCTAATTTATTACAAGAAAGTATTAACTTTTACAAATTGCAGTTACATGAAAATATTGCTCATTTGCTTCCTTTTGTGTTTTTCGAGTCTGCACCGGAAGTTTGGCTGAGCAACTGAATTAAATTGTAATTTAACCGTGATCAGGAGAGAGAAGAAGAAATCAGGGCATGTTTGTTAAACAAAAAAGTTTTGCAAAAAAAAAACTTTCAGCATTCAGCCCTCATTTCCTTTCCTGCCTTTCTCAACCAGCCACTTCGTTTTCCTACCTCTTCAGGCGGAACACAACAAAACGGACGTTTCCTTGTTGGGGAAAAAAAACTTGGAAAAAAACTTATTGCTTCATTAGTTGCGCAGAAGAGCCCATGACGATGACGGGCATTGTGTAATCAATCAAAATTCTGCAGCATTTAGGAACAACATTTTATTTTGAATTTATATTTGCCTAATTACGAGGACATGTTTCGTTTCGTAGTTTGTTTAGGGAAAATGTGGAGAAACACATTTCGAATTTGGCAGGACATGTTTTTCTGTTAATTTAGTTCTGGGTAAATCTGTCTCTTATATTTATATGCATAGGGCTGATATGTATTTATCTTCAGCTTTTTCATTTGATGACGACCGATTGTCAAAAACTTTGTGGGTGTGGGTGTGTTCCCTAACTTGCATAGATCACTAAAAGTTCGAAGTATTTTTCACATTTGCTACATATTTCTAGGTTTTCAGACGCTTATTTATGTAATTATTTGAAAATCTTGTACATATTTTTTCAAATATACGTAGGTATACTTTGTGAATATTTCAACGATGTGAGACAAAAATTTTTGCTCAAGGAAATTGGACCAGAAAAAAAATTCAGAGTATTAAATTCAAAAATACATGTGAAAATTCCTATTTTATGGTTTTTTCGTCCATATTTTGGCGTTTTATCGTAAATATTAACTACGTATTTAAGCGATTTTTCGAAAATAAATACATATCCGACCTTTGTGTCATGCCCTTCATTTTATCCGCGTATGGACAATTTATACTCGCTGCAAAAAGAGGAAGCACTATATATTCGCAAAAAAGAGTACGCTGAATGTGATATCAAGATAAGAGCCAGTCGAGCGAAGATGAGACGAAATGACATACATGCAAAAGTCAAAATTATTTTATTTTGTGCTCGACAAGAGTCAAGATTTGTTAGGCGTCTGTCTAGTCGACTATGCAGTAAGTGGAAATCTAGTACCACCACCACCACCACTCCATTCCACTCCCAACTAATAACTAATCTCGGCTCGATGTATGCAAGTAATGAATCTCTTCATGTCCTTTCAAGCGTGCATGGCGGAGTCAGTCGGATCGAATTTGAATGAATCGAGAAGAAGGATCGGTTTAATGAGGGGGTGAGCAAAATAGAATAATTGTGAAGAATAATTATTTGGACGTTCTCTAGTGAATTTCATCCTTAGAAGATCATCCCCTCCTCTTTTTGCCTCCTAACAATGGAGGTTACACAGCGTATGTTCTCAGATTTTGGGCAAACTAGTGTCAATCGATGACAAATTTAATTAGGATGCAATTTGCAAAAAACAGAATCTCCCAATGGGCGCATTTAGCAGAGATATTTGCATCCGAAGAGGAGAAAGCGCGTAGTAAATTTAGAAAGTGAAAAATTTGCTAACTTATGGGCACGTTTTCTCCTCTTTGGTACTCAGATTTGGCGGAGGTTTTTGCATCAAAAGAGGAGAAAACATGAATTAAAGTTGCAAAGATGGATACAAATTTCTCTGCTAAACGTGACCATTGGGAGATCATTACTTTTGCAAATTTCATATTATTCAAATTTGTCATCGCTTGACACTCTTCTACTCAAAATAGGCGAGCATACGCTGTTAGACCTCCATTGTTAGTAAACGGACGAAGAAAGTTGAATCTACTACAACTCTCACTCACTCATCTTGACGAACTTTTGAAGCCACAATTTTTAATTTCGCCACCTCAACTTTCATCATCTTGGGTACTGACCCAGAACAAAATTCCCTCCCACAAGGCCACTTATTGCACGTGAATCCCACCCCACCCAGATGAATTATGCGAGCCGTGTCACTTTATAAATTACTGCAAACTTTCTCTCCTCTCCATAAAATGTGGTCGTGGAAGAGGTTGGATAACGGAGAGTGAAAGTCCAGAGGCGATTTTCCTCGAAAGTGACGCTCCTCTCTACAAATGAGATTGCTTCTTCTTCGTCTTCTTGTCGGGCGGAAGGGCAATCCAATCCGATCCACGCCACGTGACGGGTGAGAAATATGACTTGTTTTTCTAGTCAAGAGATGGATTAGATTTCATGATTTTGAAAAGTTTTGCTATCAAAGTTTAAAAGTTGGGGGAACAAGTTGGATCGAGGAAAACATAAAGTTAATAAGTACTTCACTCCTTGGTAGGTAGGTAACTTGCGCCATGGTTAAAGTATGTACATGTGTAACATTGGCGCAAGTTAGCTTAAACGTCAACACGGATAATAAAAGGATATATTTCTCCGAAAGAATTAGGATCTGATTGTGAAACAATATTTGCAAAGTTTTCGCGGATGGACGAACTTGATCCATTTCTGAGGCGACAGTTGGAGGAAAGCTTTACACGGAAAGTTTACGTAGGTAACTTGCGCCATGGTTAAAGTATGTACATATTTAACATTGGCGCAAGTTACCTTAAACGTCAACACGGATATATTACGTATTCCTACGAGAAATTTGTTTCTGATTTGCGAAACAATATTTGCAAACTTTTCGCGGATGGGCGAACTTGATCCATTTCTGACACCATTCATTTCAGGGAAGCGAATTTTGCTCAAAGTCAAGGCTACCGGATTTTGAGACACGTCGCACAAAATGAAATCATGGTGAAAGTCTGCCGATCAGTTTGTGAGATTCTTCTCTTCTCTTCTGTGAAAGTCGGAGTGAAGCTTATGTGCAAAAGTCGGGCTTACGTACGTACAAGAAGAATCTTGGCCTTCAACCCACGTAACTTGGTCCAGGACGACATTTTACAAGTATTTACGACTCCTTGTTTCACCACGGAGGCAAGAAATTCTGTCTGCAAGCCGGTTTCCCAAGCTGTGAAGTGGAATAACCGAATTACTTCCGGGAAACGGTCCCTTGTTCCAATCCGCTCGTGTTGACCTTATGCTCTCTCTTTCGTCGTAGTCCCACTGGGCGGGTATTCTACTTTAAATATAGGAAGGAACGCGATGACCCTTGGTAATCATTGGCCGCGGAAGCGTGGGGACAGAGGGACAATGTCCCCACGGTTATTCGATGTCCTCATCATTTGCCCATGTTATATAAACCCCTCCCTCCCCTATCTCACAATGTTAATGTCCCCACATGTCCCCATGGCTTCCGCGGCCACTCTTTGATGATGGTGGTGATGGAGTAGAAGAGATTATATTTATTTCCCATCATTCCTATCCTAAAACTGCTTTGTATTCAGAGTATGCTGTGCATGGATTTTCTTGGGGTCCGCTTTCTCCTTGTTGAAAACAATTAATTGTTTGTTTGTAGAGATGATTTATTCGGAAGTGGCTGACTTTTGCGGCGTGTGAGGGATTATATTTACTAGTTGGTTGCGTTTGGTTTGATTTCCTGATCCTGCTTTCGTACTTTGACGTCAAGATGGTGTATCAGTGGGCGTCCCGGGTTGTGGGACGCTCATCAAAATTTGGCAAAGTTTCGTAAAGACCAGGACTCGTTGGAAGGGTCCGATTTTTGGCGAAAGAAGGCTTGCGAGTCTGCGGGACTACGAAAATAAATATTCAAGGGGATCCTGTCCTCGGCATTGTTTCGTACGTCGAACAACACCTAATTTTGGACTGGACACTGTCCAAAAGCGTTCAACATTGAACAACAGGGCAAAATGTTACAAGCTCTTTATTTATTAACGAGTTTTTTTGCAAAGCTATGAGCAAATCTCTCAGATATGCAATCTCCCCTAAATTTTGAGAATGTTATTGGGCGTGTAATACCACGAAATTTGGAAAGACTTTTGTGCTCACATGTTTTCTTACGTAATAATCAAATAATCCTTTATTCAAGTGCCAACAGCTCATTACAAACTTTATGTAGTGGGATTATTTGGGCTAGTCAACTCACTTTCATGTTTTTACGCATTAACTAGAGCCAGAGTTTATTGGACATTTACATTGGAAGTTTTATGCAAACGAGGTGATACGCACAAAAAATTCAACTGTACATTTAAATTCATCCCAGAATTCTCTCGCGATTTTCAATACGAACTGCTTTAAGTAATGGCGATCTTAGAGCATGTTTTAATTGGTTCAGAACTTTTGTTTGAATTCTATCATCTCCCAGAACAAATTCTGAAGTCCCGTTTCCTGCCTCGGCGACCCGGTTGACCAACTCGACGGAAGCCTGTCTTCCAATCCCCAAAGTGAAAACGCGTCCCCTCGTCTCGTTATCTGAGACCACTTTGGCAATTGTTGAGATTCGAGCAGTTCCAAATTCTTGCTAAGTAAATATAAGTAAATGCTTGTTAAAAGATTGCATGGTTTATTTTATGTTCATTACTGAGCGTCAATCTACGCATATCTAGCATATCGCGCAAATGAGCATATAAGCATAATTTGCGACTTCTTCACAAATTTTGCGAGATTTGCAATTTGCGAAGTCATATTTTGCGAATTCCCTCACGGCACAAATTTGTTGAGTTTTGCAAGTTTGCTAATTGAGGTGCGATTCGAAATAAGACGTTGTCGTGAGGACGCTCAATTTAAATATTTTTTTCTTACGCATCCATCGGTTAATAGAAATATTTGGGTCATATATCCCAAGATTCCACTACTATTATAAACATGTAAAAGTGGCAATTCAACTTCGTTTCCTCCCATGCTGGCATCCATCTCTAGAAATAAGTATCATTATCACTGCAAATTTTGTACTAAATTACACCAGAGTACTCACATATTTCCTTACTTTGTGCATATGCAACAGCTTGATTCAGAGTATCTTGACCATACTTCACACTGGTTGGGAATAACGTCTGATATCTTGTCCCAAAGCCAATTATGTTGAAATAACAGTCCACCGGAAGTGATCGTAGGAACATCTGTGGGATCATCATAAAAATAAAAGGTTGGGCAAATACTTTGTCAAAGTACAGCATTTTGAACTCCGTTCTTCTCAAGGTTTGGATTTCCAGGGCTGTTACACCCACAAAAAGACGAAAATCTACGCGCAGAATACAACAGGCACACAAAAATTCAGTTCCATTTTATCGCTGGAAAACACTTTATTAAAAAAAATCAAAAAGAACAATGTATTTTGACAGCGATGAAAAGTCAATTTCTTCGCAAAGCCTGTATTTTCCTCTGGCAAATCTTCTCCGTGCAGATTCCCGTCTTTTTGTGGGTGTAACAGCCCTGGAAATCCAAACCCTGGGAAGAACGGAGCTCAAAATACTGTATTTTGACAAAGTATTTTACTCAAACTTTCAAAAAATGGTAATAATTCATAATAAATTATATTATATAGGTAAACATGAATGTACATATAAACCCACCACACAGGCTTGTCTAGCCAATTCTATGGAAGTTCCACCCATGGATCCTGATCGATCCAGAACAAATACAAATTCATATTTCTGATCGTCTAGTTTTGCACTGGGTAACAAATACTTATTTTTTACATGAATTACACTATTTTCCCAATTCTCAGACATTGTCAGGAATTATTTCGGTTTAACTTAATTTAAACAGTATTATTATTAGTATGTAGTGGTATAGGTTAGATAGTGATAGGTTGGACAAATAATCACTCACATTTAGCATAATACGTTTGACTGCGAATTTTGTATCAGCACGTTATGCAATTTATGATTTGCATACCTACATATATGTAAATCATATCTTGTTGATTGTACGTACATATGTATGTATGTAATCAAGCTTAACATACATATTTACATAAGCTGGCCCCAGACTTGACAAGTAATCACTTTGTCAAGTGCATTTAGTAAAAATACGTTTGACGGAAGAATGCAAAGGTTGTACAAATATGAGTCAGTACATTTGTGCAATTTATGATTTACATATATCTAAATCATGTCTCGTTGATTGTATGTATGTACATATTAGCTCATTCAAAAAAAAGTTTTTTTCCGATTTTGTAAAACCGGTAAAAACTGGTTTCAACTTAGCCGAAAACCGGTTGGGGTTTAAATACTTCTTTTTACATCCTTAGAAGCCGTTTTTAGATTTTTAGTAAAACAAACGCTTAGATAAGAAATGATTTTTCCTCCTAAACACCTTATCCCCAAGCTTATATTCAATATTAATGTCGTATTAAATTGTTGGTTATTATATTTGGAAACTTTTTATAATTTGTACTAAACCCGATTTTTAAAAAATTAGATTTATAGAAGATTTTTAGATTCACAGAATAGAAAAGCGATTCCTAAAATTTTCCAAAATCCGATTAATCGAAAATCGGTTTTCGATTAATATTTGTCAGAGAGTTATTATAAAAATTATGAAAATTTTAAGCTATTTTAGAGCGCGAAAAAACACTTTTCATTGTATGCCTCTGTACTAAATATACTAATCCTAAATACTAAACACTAATATTTAAGTACATGTTAGTGTCTATAAACGATTTGTCATGAGAAAATATTTCATTTGTACTTATTATTTTGCATCTATTTTATTTCTAGTTTCTAATCTGAGGAAAAAAATCAAATTTTGACCTCCCAACTTTGCAAATCTAAAAATTATCGAATTTTAGATGCAATAAAATCTTTATTTTATAGAAAAGCCACGGAGATGTTTCAAAATCGCCATTTGAATACATGGAAAAAGGGAAATTTGAGATACAAATATATATTCGAATTTAAAACCTGCATACAAGCGAACATTACGTCCCCATAATTACTGTTTTCCTTCCCGTAAAACAATGACTGAGGCAGTTGGGGAACTGGTTGGATTTTGAACTAGACACCTGGTTGATCCAGTTTCATCGTAAATACTAAAAATAAATCAATTTCAAAGCCACGCTGTAAATTGTGGATAAAACTGGTTTCTAGTTACTGATAACCCGAGTCAGGACTTATGCACTTAAAAGTTAGGGAACGTCCATTAATTACACAAAAATGCTGATATTTTAGACGCTCCCATCCCCGCTTTGTCTCACATGTGGCGCAATTTGGCCTGTCACGCAAAAATTTTGCACTCCTATCCCCCCATACCATACCCATAACATAATTTATGTATATCCCCTTTAAGTTCGAAGATGAGCGAAATAGGTCAAGCGGTTGGCCGGTGGGGGTCACCAGGGGTGTTATACGCCAAAAAGTCGCACAAAAAATTAGAAGCTGACTCGGGCTAAATGAAGTCTGCATTGCACCATAGCTCGCAGGGGACCATTTGGTCCCTGGTCCCTCGGGGACCAGGGACCATTTTTTTTTTCGATGGTCCCTCGGGGACCAAGGACCAGGGACCATTTTTTTAGATGGTTCCTCGGGGACCAGGGACCATTTTTTAGATGGTCCCTCGGGGACCAGGGACCAGGGACCATTTTTTTAGATGGTCCCTCGGGGACCAGGGACCAGGGACCATTTTTTTAGATGGTCCCTCGGGGACCAGGGACCAGGGACCAATTTATTGCGAGCTATGCATTGCACTGTTGTTTTTTATACGACTCATGACACTAACTCTATATGCTTATTTAAGCATATTTATTACTCGTATGCATAAAGTTGTTTGTGTATACCTTCAAAATTATGTTTTAAATACTTTCAGTCGTAAACACTCTGCAAGTATTTAAACTTTGCAAGTATTCAAAATAAATAGTTCATAAGTTCAAATAAATATGTTGCAGATTACGATTTTATTTAAAAGTAGTCGCGACTTAGGGGCTGTGCATAAATTACGTATGAGCATAGTGGGGAGGAAGCGGGTCCGATAGTCCGATGGATAAAAGGAGAGAGGGCGGGGTCTAAAAAACAGCACTTTGGTGTTCCGTAATTTACGTACAGCCTCTAAGGCAAATTGTGGTACGCAATTAAGGAAACCATAAATACTCATACATATTTGCTGGGCCGCCGCTCTAAAACGTTAGATTAGTGCCCATTGAACATTCTAAATCCTGGTTGCAAACCTGGTTCCACCTAAAAGCTGGTTGCAAGAAACCGGATTTCTATCAAATAATTCAGATTTTACGACGGAACAAAAAGCCTTTATTAAAAAAAAATTAACTTGTTTACGCTTAAAACTGCAGAATAAATATTTTTGGAGCTAGTAAACCTTAGCAAACGCACATACGGAAGTAGCTCCAGTCTCACTTCACCCCAATGATCGTAGAACACTTAATTTCACTATTTCATTTACCCCCGGTAAAATGCTGGATCCTCCCCTGGGGTCATATGTACGATACCGTAAACCGATCTTGATCCGTCCTCCCGTTATCCTACTGACGGACGGACGGACAGACAGACATAGGCTTCACATAAAACAGCTTTAGCTAAAATCTAACCAGGGTGTAGACCTAGTTTGGGATTGAATAGAAATAAACGAGACTAGATATTTTATCAAACTATCGTCATCATCTAAGCAATCCAACAGGAATTTGGGAAGCGTTGATTGATTGATTGAAGCTTTATTAATGGTGTTGTGAACGAAAATATGTAGGTATTCGGAGTACTAAAACAAACAAGTTTATTGTACGAAAGGTCACAGGCTTGGACGGATGATATAAATAGTAAATTAATATGATCAACTCTATGTTTAGCTAGTCTCTCACCCCTCAACAACATTGTTTCCGTGCTCTGAAAAATGTTGGGCAAAATAAGAACGGATTTATTTTTTGCATGCGTTGCAATTCTTTTGGTAAGTTCTACCAACGAGTAGACTTGAATTATGAATTTGCATAATGGTCGCTACACCTCTGAAGAGCGAGAGAAAAATCGTTCCGAAAATAATAAAATCCTGAAAAAAATCAAGCCACAAAGTCACGATTGGGCAATGGAATGCGCTACAACATCTTGTTCTTCAGAAGGATAGGAAACTTCTTTACGCTTACAGTAACTTTCGCATCTTCCCAGTTTTTTCCGGGGGGGGGGGGGGGGGCTCGAAATGCTCACTTTACTTATGTCAGTCTTTAGTTACAAGTTCTGCGATATGCGTGCGCTTATGGTCTGTTCATTAAAATCTGACACTTTTTGTATGTGTCTTGTACAGATTCTGTACTACAGAATTGGGTCTAATTATAAAATACCAATAATAACGACTTCGTACGGAGGAATATTATTGGGAGAGCTAGTTGTTTGGCTGCAAATCTGGTATAGTCAGTCATGAAGGTATTGATTGTTCGGTATTAAAATTATATCGGATGGTAAAAATCTGCTACTGATATGGTAAAACTTTAACCAGGAGCTATGACATTATTTATCCGTTTGACGAGAATTATATACGAACACGGCTTGGTATGATTTGAGTACAGGATTTCCAAGAGTGTAATGGACGAAGGATTCGTATCCCCATTAACTTAGAATTTCCAAATTTATTTATTTAGACAAAGACAAAATTATTCCAGACATAATTTCAATGTTCTGCAACTGTATGGAGTGGAATCGTAAAATTACCAAATACAGAGCTTCACAAATATGAACATATGTATGCACTCGAGTCTAATTAATGAACTTTGAACACTTGTAATGATTCAGAGGGAACTCAATTCAACAAATGTTACAAGCGTCTCGAGCCGGACCTCCAAACAATACTGGGGACAAGGATTTATGCCACCGTATTATTTTCCGCCCTCCATGGGAGGCTATGGAGGGCAGGGCTGGAGACCCCAAGGGCACGGGTGGAGCCCACAAGGTCCAGGATGGGGTGGCCAAGGGCAAGGATGGACCACAGGGGCTAGGACAAGGAGAAGGATACGAAGAACCAGGTGAATATCAGTATCCTCATCCCTGGCCGTTAATTAAGGATCCCGCTTATCATGCATATTGGGGACCGGCACAGGTATTACATAACAGGGTGACTGTAAATTCACGCTACAAAAGGGGAAATTTTTCAATGACAAAATTTCCAAATTTCCTAAATTAGTAAAGGAATTTTACGGAATTTTTACTATCGGTGATCCAGTCTCTCTTCCAAGGCTAATCACCAATTTCGGATATACATATACTCTTTGAAAAATTTCTCCTTGTTGCGTACAACCATCTTGTACTTACTTATATAGACTGATAAAATTTAGCAAATTGCTTAAGGGGCAGTTCATAAATTATGTGGCACAAAAATCGTGATTTGCTATGCCCCCCTTTAACATGAGTCACTTCAGCACTAAATCATTGGAGCCTTAGACCCCCTTCTCGTGTTACACAATTTATAAACGGCCGCTAATACCATGAATCTATATAAGCAATGATAAAATTGCTTATTTCATGCCTAATCCTGACCCTGCCACCTTTCAGGAGAGAGGAAGTTGTATATCCAAAGGCTCGGCGTGCGACTGGACAAAGACGGATACATGTTGCTGGCCCTTGGAAAATGGGTGCCACAAGGAGAGTCCGAATGTCCTTAGTAGATTTATATGCAAGAAGACCTACACCGGCGAGTGTGTCGCAAGTGGGGGAGTGTGCAGTAGGGTGAAAAAAGTCATTGTCAATGTGTGTTGTGATCCTACAAACTATCACTGCGATGGGACAACGTTCCAATGGGACTGGAAGTGCGTGAAAAGATAAGAAATTATAGAAACGGACTCTGGCTCGGGCTAAATGAAGTCGGCAGGTTTTTTATGCAACTCATGAATGAAACTATGTATATTCGAGCATATTTATTACTTGTATGCATAAGTTGTATGTGTGCACCTCAAAATTATCGTTTAAATTCCATCCAGTCATAAAATTTGAACTTTGCAGATATAAGAAATAAATAGTTCGCAAGTTCAAATATCTAAATATGTAGAAGAATCTGAGCTATGATTTTATTTGCAAGTTGTCGCGACTTAGGGGCATGAGCGTATGCACATCGGGAGGGAGGGAGTCTTACCTGCAATGATATCGTGACTATGTTACACATGTTAAAAAGGGAGAGGGTGGTCTAAAATATCTGAACTTTTGTGCCACGCAATTTACGGACAGCCCTTAACGCAATGAACAGAAAACCATAAACATATTTATGGCTGCAGCTCTGAAACGTGTCTATTAAACATCAAAATCCTGATTGCTTTAAAACCCGGTTTCAAAAAACCGGATTTCAATCGCATACATTACGACAGTATATATACGTACAAACTTGTTGATGCGTAAGGTTGCAGAACAAATACCTTTTTAGCTAATAAACAATATATCAAACGCACATACCGAAGTAGCTTTCGCCTTACTTTACCCCAACCAGGACATAAACACTTAGTTTCACTGTATATATTAAATTTAACTAAAAATCTCATTTTATCCCGGACCACACCCCTTCCCCACCTCGAGGAGGAATGGTCACATTGACCCCAAAAGTTGATAGGATCCTCCCCCTGGGTCATGTGTATGATGCCGCAAACTGATCCACAATATCTTAGGTCTCGCGTTATACTGCTCATTCATTGGCAGCGGAAGTTTGGAGGACACGTGGGGACATAAACATTGTGGGGACATTGTGGGATGGGATTTGAGGGGGGGGGGCTTAGAAAAGAATCGATTTTGCTGAATTTATGGGGACAATGTCCTCCTGCCCCCTTTCTTCCGCTGCCAATGATCCTGCTGACGGACAGATGGAAAAAGTCTTCACACTAATGGTGAGTTAGTTAAGCTGATTAATACATCTATAACCAGGGAGGAGACTTGCTTCGGGGGTTGTATAGGAATAAACGAGACTCGACACTTTATTAAATTATCGTCATCGTCATCTAAGCAATCCAACAGGAATTGGGGAAGTGTTGTGAACGAAAAGAGTATCCGGAGTACTAAAAAAACAAGTTTGCTGCAAAAAAGGTCATGAGCTTGGATGATATAAATAGTAAATTGATACGGTCAACTCATCTTTAGCCAGTCTCTCACCGCTCAACTACCTGCATTGTTTTCGTGCTCTGAAAAATGTTGGGGAAATTAAAAACAGAATATTTTTTTGCTTGCGTTGCAATTCTTTTGGTAAGTTCCGCAAACGAGTGAAATTATGTATTTACATAATACACCATATTCCGAAATACTAATAAAATTCTGAAAAAAATCAAGCCACCATTGTGCAATTGAATACGCTGCAATGTCCTGTTGCTTCTTACTTAATAAGGACCGGAAACTTGTGCACTTTACTGTACTGCGCAGCACAGTACAGTAAAGTGCATTGCTGCGCTTACACAGCAAATTTTCACTTTCGCCAATTTTCACTTTTCATTTTCGCCAATCGTTTCCGGGGCTGGGGAAGCTCGAATAAAATCTAAAATGTTCTACTTATAATAGTCCTTCCCAAGTTAGTTACGAATTCTGCGATATTCGTGCCGCGCGCGCCTATGGTCTGTTAAGAGTTGACCATTTTTTTGTATACGTTTCTGATACAGAATTGTGTCTAATTATAAAATACCAACCATAACGACTGGAGGGTCGAGGAATATTATTGGGAGAGCCACTCGTTTGGCTATAGGTCACGCAGGTATTGATTGCTCGGTATTAAAGTTATACGGACGGTAAAAATTTGCCACCGACTTGGTAAAAGTTTAATACCGAGCTATGACATTACTTGTCAATACCACTTCGGTGGGCTGGAGTCATAGACAAATACGGCCTGATGTAATTTGAATGCAGGATTTCCAAGAGTGTAGAAAATGAAGAATGCTGCATTAACAAATTTCAAAATTTATTTTTCCATTTAAGACAAAATTATTCTAGAAATTTCAATGTTCTGCAACTATATGGAATTGAATCGCAAAATTACCAAATTACAAAACTTTGCAAATATGTACGCACTCGACTCTAATTAATGAACTTTGAACACTTGTATAATAATTCAGAGGGAACTCGATTCAACAAATGTCACAAGCGTCTCAAGACGGAGCGCCAAGCAATACTGGGGTCAAGGATTTATGCCTCCGTATTATTATCCACCCTCCATGGGAGGCTATGGAGGGCAGGGCTGGAGACCCCAAGGGCACGGGTGGAGCCCACAAGGTCCAGGATGGGGTGGCCAAGGTCAAGGCTGGGGACCACCAGGACAAGGATGGTATGACCAAGGAGAAGGATACGAAGAGCCAGGTGAATATCAGTATCCTCATCCCTGGCCGTTGATCAAGGATCCAGCTTATCATGCATATTGGGGACAGGCGCAGGTATACACAGGGTGGTTGTAAAGTCACGCTACAAGGGGGAATTTTTCAATTAGAAAATTTCGAACTTTCCTAATTTAGTAACGGAATTTTACCGGAATTTTTACTATCAGTGATCCAATTCTCTTCCAAGGCTAATCACCAAATTCGGAAGTGCACTCATTTAAAAATTTCCCCTTGTTGCGTGAATTTACAACCACCTTGCAAAGATTGACAAAATTTAGCAAATTACCTAAGGGCAGTTCATAAATTATTTGGCACAAAAACTTCGATTTTACACGTCCCCCTTCAACATGTGTCACTTAGGCACTAAATCATTGAGCCTTAGACCCCCCCTTCTCGTGTTACATAATTTATGAACGGCCCTTAATACCATGAATCTGTAATACAAGTTATTACAAGTAATAAGCAAGTTGCTTATATATATTCATGCCTAATCCTGACCTTTTAGGAGAGGGGAGCATGCATAGCAAAAGGCGCGGCGTGCGACTGGACAAAGAGAGATACGTGCTGTTGGCCCTTGGAAAATGGGTGCTACAAGGAGAGCAACATCCTTAGCAGATTTATATGCAAGAAGAGCTACACCGGGGAATGTGTTGCAAAAGGGGGGGATTGCAGTAAGGTGAAGAAAGCCTTTGTCAATGTGTGTTGTGATCCAACAAACAATCACTGCGATGGGAAATGGAACCAATGGCAGTGGCACTGCGTGGCAAGATGATTCCGATTTAAATTGGGAACCGGACAACCAAATCTTTAACTTAGGGGACGTTCATAAACTACGTGACGCAATATTGACGATTTGTTAACCCCCCCCCTTCGTATACACCTCACTTTAACGCAATGGCCCTACCCTTCCTTCCCCCTACGCTGCGTTATGAACGTCCCCATTTACAAATTTAGAAGCGGACTCTGTCCCTGGCTCGGGCTTAGTGAAGTCTCTATACAACTCATGAAACTAACTCCATACCCATATTGTATGTTTTAAAAACTTCCATCCAATCATAAAATTTAAACTTTGCACATATAAAAAATATATAGTTCACAAGATCAAATAAAAATGTTAAAGAATCCGAGCGATGATTTTATTTATAAGTAATCGCGACTTAAGGGCTGTCCGTAAATTACGTATACATTTGGGGGGAAGGAGAGGGGTCTAAGCTCCGCTGATATCGTGACTGTGTTACACATGTTAAAAGGGGAGTCTAAAAGATCAGGACTTTTGTGTCACATAATTTACGGACAGCCCCTGACGCAAATTGTTGCAAGCAATGAACAGAAAACCATAAAAATACATATTTATTGGGCCACAGCTCTGAAACGTGTCCATTAAAAATCTTGATTGTGTGTAAAACCCGGTTTCAAGAAACTGGATTTCTATCAAGTAATTCATACGTTACGACAGTATAAAAGCTTTAACCTGTTTAGGCGTAAAACAACCGAATACTTAAATATTTTTTGCGTAACAAACGCATATACAGAAGTAGCTTCAGTCTCACTTTGCCCCGACCAGGGCATAAACACTTGATTTCACTGTCAATTTCAGTAAAATCCCGTTTTGCTACCGACCACACCCCTTCCCCTGGAGGAATGGTCACATTGATCCGAAAATTTGATTGGATCCTCCCCCTGGGTCATGTGTATGATGCCGCAAACTGATCCACAATATCTTCGGTCTCGCGTTATCCTGTTCAGTGCCAGCGGAAGTTTGGGGGGACACGTGGGGAGATTGACATTGTGGGATTGGGGGAGGAAGGACTTGTTAACGGGTTAGTTACAATTTTGCTGAATTTATAGGGATAGTGCCCCCCTGCCCCCTTTCTTCCGCCGCCACTGATCCTGCCGACGGACAGATGGACAAAGTCTTTACACTAATGGTAAGTTACTTAAGCTGTTTAATTCTTCTAATCAGGGTGGAGACTAGCTTTTGGAGTTGCATGTATAGGAATGAACGAATCTCGACATTGTATCAAATTCGCATGGTCATCATCTAAGCAATCCGACCGGAATTGGGGAAATGTTGTGAACGAAAATCAGGAGTACTAAAAAAACACGTTTGCTGCAAAAAAGGTCATGGGCTTGGATGATATAAATAGTGAATTAATATGGTCAACTCATCTTTAGCCAGTCTCTCGCCTCTCAAGTACCTACATTGTTTTCATGCTCTGAAAAAATGTTGGGGAAAATAAGAACAGAATTTGTATTTACTTGCATTGCAATTCTTTTGGTAAGTTCCACAAACGAGTGGACTTGAATTATGAATTTTTTAAATAATGTTCGCGACATTCTAGAGTGAGGAAATCGTCCCAAAAATCTAATAAAAGTAAAAGGAATTTTCTGAGAAATCGTGCCATAAGCTCAGCATTGTGAATAGAATGCGCTACAATATCCTGTTGCTTCTGAAGAAGGACAGGAACCTTATCTGTGTTCCGTATTGTTCTGCGCTTAAAGCAACTTTCACATTTTCCGCAGTTTTTTCTTTAGTTAAAAAAATCAGGGGGATGGGGGCTCGACATTATTCAAGAATACTCGTTTTATGTTAATCTGTCCCACGCACGGTGGTTACAAGTTCCTACGTATTTATGCAGTCGAGTCTAATTAATGAACTTTGAACACTTGTATAATGATTCAGAGGGAACTCGATTCAACAAATGTCACAAGCGTCTCAAGACGGAGCGCCAAGCAATACTGGGGACAAGGATTTATGCCACCTTATTATTATCCGCCCTCCATGGGAGGCTACGGAGGGCAGGGCTGGAGACCACAAGGGCACGGTTGGGGACCACAGGGGCAAGGATGGTATGACCAAGGATACGAAGAGCCAGGTGAATATCAGTATCCTCATCCCTGGCCGTTGATCAAGGATCCCGCTTATCATGCATTTTGGGCAGCGACGGAGGTATTACATGCACAGGGTGGTTGTAAATTCACGCTACAAAAGGGGACATTTTTCAATGACAAAATTTCGGGATTTCCTATGTTAGTAACGGGATCTTACAGGAATTTTTACTATCGATGAACTAGTTTATCTCTCTCTTCCAAGACTAATCACCAAATTAGGAAATTTACTCATTTAAAAATTTCCTCTCGTTGCGTAAATTTCCATACAACCACCTAGTACTTGCTTGCATATCTGACAAAATTCGACAAATTACTTAAGGGGCAGTTCATAAATTATGTGACGCAAAAGTCGCGATATTCTACACCCCCTCGTCCTCCCCCTTAAACATGTGTCACTTCGGCACAAAAACATTAAAGCCTCAGACCCCCCCCTCTTCTCGCGTTACGTAATTTATAAACCGCCACTAATACTGACCTTGTCACCTTTTAGGAGAGGGGATGATGTATATCAAGAGGTGCGGTGTGCGACTGGTACAAAAAAGGTACCTGCTGTAAACCCTTGGAAAATGGGTGCCACCATGAGAGCAGCAACGTTTTTAGCAGATATATATGCAAGAAGAGCTACACCGACGAATGTGTTAAAAGTGGGGGAGTCTGCAGCAGGGCGAAAAAAGTCTTTTTCAATGTTTGTTGTGATCCCACAAACTATCACTGCGATGGGACTGGACGTGTGTGAAAAGATAATCAATTAAAGTTGTGAATCTTACAAGGAAACCGTTGACTTAGGGAATGTTCATAAAATATGTAACGCAAAATTTACGATTTTTAACCCCTCCTTTCGGGTTTGTAATGGGTTACACACACCTTCTTTTTACATGTGGCACAAGTTACCTCGTAAAGTAACAGTCCGACCCCTCCGCTGCGGTACGTATTTTATGAACGATAAAAATACCTTTATACCATGTAAGTTAAAGCAATTTTGGACAAGCTGGTTTGAAAAAGATTTGCTAGCTGTAATAATAGCGTTGAATAATCCTGATAGGTAATAAATTTTCATAAAGGTAATTTAATAAATTAATAAACAATATGTACAAGTACAAATAAAAGTGTCGGCTTCAACCCGAAAATTTTCTTGTTTTAATAGCTTGCCCTCATCCACTAAATTGTTAGTATTGATTGCATGTATGTAAGGTGAAAGTTCTGTGCCACAAGTAATGAAAAGTTTAATCCACGTCAAAGCCAGGCAAATAATTTAGGATTTTATTATCCAACTTTTCACGATGACATCCGCAAAGGATATCACACGACACATGTATTGCGTCACGATATTGCGCAATTTATCTTATCTATTAACTCACGTACACTGTTAAAACTCTGGTATAGAATCAGGTAAGTATATAATCCGTACTGATAATGATTTGGCAATGACTTCCTACCAGATTGGTAGTACTTTGTTTCTGAGTGGGAAGTTTTTCATCACCACAAAATAACTAAACGGCCATGCCCATTATTACCGTGCCGGTAGAGTCATATACATATGTACTCCAGTCAGTAATGAATGATTTAACACCAGTTTTTCAAGAGTGTAATACTTAAGAAGCAGCAGATTTACAACATATCTGCCTTGCAAATTTTATCATTATAGCAAAAATTTTCCCCTCCGGTAACCCTCCTCAACTTGACGGAGAAATATTTCTCCTAGAAAAAATACTCCCGTAATTCCAAGTCCGAAAAGAAATGCGAAAAATGTCGAGACCAATGCCTCCAATCGGAGCGACTTTGCACTTTCTTCCCCCAAAATTGGCCAGATTTCCTCCATCCCCTCTTCACTATCACGCTTATCTTCAAAGCCTCGCTTATCACATTCCCTCGTGCTCCAAAAACCTCCCCGATTGTTCAGCCATTCTCCCCAGCAACGTTCGTAAGCTTCCCACTCCCGCCAAATGTTGAGGTCAATTTCCTTCTCGGCCCACAACTGGGGGAGTCCGGATTGCATGACGTACCCCAAGTAGCGATTGAAGACGGGGGCCATCCCACTTTTCGCCATGGTGAAGGCCGTCGTCACCTTGACGACGTCGACATCCTCCTCCGAGTCTGGGGGACGCCACAGCAACAAGCGAGATTTCCAGCCTTCCATCAATTCCAGTAAGTGGACCCATCTCGTAATGCCGAGTTCGGTCGAGATGAAGGCAAAATTCGGGGGTAGTTTCCAGTAAGAGTTGTCTCCAAGGTCACTTTTCTCCGACCTGACTTGAGCCCTGGAATTTTAATCATGAAATTGTACTGGTCAAGGAATAAAGCCTAATACTCAGGACGGGTTTTTACGCGAAATAGCAATTTGCTTAAATTCTGCTAAATTTAATCTGTAAGGGGGCCTCGTTTCCGCGTATATTTTTCAATCAATTTTCACTCACAGATAATTTCTTGGGTGGTTTGAGCTGAAAAAAGGTCGCGCTTTCTCCCATTTAAAACGTAAACGTCTTAATAGATGTTACTAACTAAGTTGAAAATGGCATATTTTGAGATTGTTCCACCTTCTTATTTTGAATTCCGAGGGGTGGGAGTCACCTTCCACGCATTTTAATGCTAACTTTGACCTTAACTTGAAGGAAAATTGTTCACACAAAAAAATTCTGCACAAATTTCGCCAGAAAAGCCATCCTGAGTACTTAGCTTAATAATATGTGAATCAATGAAATGACACCAACCAACCTTGGAAGAAGGATTTCTTGTTCCAACGCGAGCAGAAATTTACTCCGGGAAACGTCCCTTACATAAACAGTGGCCTGTACTATTTTCTTGTAGTAGTTTTTCACCTGTCCGTCCTTCTCGGCGTGCAAGTACTCGTAAATTAAGGCCTCGCTATAGTGCACGGATTTGTTCTGGGTCGTTATGTAAATTTGGTCCGAAGTAACGACCGGGTACGTGGAGAGGACTTTGGCGAGGGACTCGAACCGTGAGGGGAGGTCGGAGGGGAGGATGGCGGAGCAGAGGAAGGAGATCACGATCCCGTTGTAACCGTTGGACAAAATGAGGGAGACGAGAAGCCAGACTCCGAAAAGGATGCGGAACGAGGTGATCACTTTTTTGGCGGTACGTTCGTTGGGATTTTGCTCGAAAAGGGATCCTAGGACCATGAGGTGGATGTGGATCAGGGTCGACATGTACTCGATCCTAGTGTTGCAAAGGTCATGTGATTTTCGCCACGTGACGTAACTCATGGTCAAGAT